TTTTCCATTCATCTCCTTCCTTCATCCTAATCTGATGATACCCACTCTTTAAATCAATTTTAGAGAATATGCAAGAACCATGCAACTCATCTAACATGTCATCTAATCTAGGAATAGGGTGACGATACTTTACAGTGATTTTGTTGAACGCGTGACAATCAACGCACATACGCCAAGTCCCATCCTTCTTAGGCACAAGTAGCACTGGAACTGCACATGGACTTATGCTTTCTCTCACATGTCCCTTTTTCATGAGTTCTTCGACCTGCCTTTGAAGTTCTTTCGTCTCATTGGGATTACTTCGATATGCTAGTCTGTTTGGAATTGTTGCACCAGGAATGAAGTCAATTTGATGCTCGATTCCTCTTACTGGTGGTAAACCATTAGGAAAATCATCTGGAAACACATCCTTGAAGTCCTGCAAAAGAGATTTAACAACACTAGGCAAAGAATCATTAAGTTCGTTAGTGTTGAAATAAGCATCTTTATACAGAAGCAAAAACATAGGCTGGTTTGCAAACAACGCAGCCTTGACATCACTTTCTTTTGCATAAACACTCACTAATTTTCTCTCTTTGTTTTTCAACACTCTCAATCTTTTCTCTCTTTTTGGACTCTTTTTCTGCTGTTTTCTCTTTGTTTTTCGTACCCTCAAGCTCACTCTCATTTCTCAACTCACTCTCTTTTTTTACTCTCAGTTGATCCTCATAAACTTGCCTTGGACTCAATGGTGCAAGAGTAATTGTTTTCCCTTCCATGATGAACAAATAGTGATTTTTGAAGCCATCATGTGTTACTTTCCTATCATATTGCCATGGTCTCCCCAAAATTAAATGTCCAGCATGTATGGGAACCACGTCGCACAGTACCTCATCCTTATATCGTCCGATAGAGAATGAAACCAGAACTTGTTTATTTACCTTGATTTCTCCACAATCATTTAACCATTGCAGTTTATATGGCCTTGGATGCTTCATCATAGGTAAATTAAGCTTTTCAACTAAAACAGTGCTAGCTGCATTAGTACAACTACCATCATCAATAATCACACTACATACCTTGTTTTTGACATGGCACCTCGTGTGAAATATATTGTCACATTGTACTTCATCATCTTCTTTGGCTTGCACATTCAAAGCTCGC